TCCCCTCACCTCAGCCTCAGCTTCTCCCAAAAGAAGATGCTCCTGGATGCTCCCCTGGGAGGAAGGAGGATCTGGCCCCTTGTGGAGGAAAACAACAGGGGTCAACAGAGGTTCCAAGAAAAGGACTGCTTCAATGAGAAAAAGATACATCTGGGCAGTCAGATGACAGTACTCGCCTGTAAGGTGGCTGAGCTGACAGTCAAGAGCAGGAGCCCAAGCCCAGACTCCTCCCTCAGCTCTGAGGATGCTACTACTCCCACTGAGCTGAGGGCCATTGGGCCTTTCACCCCCTCTCCTCCTCCAGCAGCAATCAGGAGACCGTCTTGTCTCCCAGTGATTGCTGTAAGACTTGGTAGAGCAGGTGTGTTACCGCTGTTAAGTGATGATGACTTTCTTTATGGGAACTTGAGTGGAAAAGGATGAAGCTATGATTACAGCATACCAGTTGAAATTGGAGTGATCATGACTTTTGTGATGTTAAACTGAACGGTCTAGGTGTTGGCTGATGGATTGAAGCTTCAGTCAGCTACAACTAAGGTGAAGAAACTTGTGGAGAGACTGGAGAAGTTCCAGCTCATCTACAATCCCTCACCTCTAACACCAGCAGCCTGCTGAAGGTTCCCGGCAGAAGCACAAAAGGTTCCAGTACCTCCATCAAAACCTGGCCCATCCAACAGAGGAGGTCCTCATCATGGGACCCTGGAGGTGACACCCAACATTTCAGCATCTCCATCAAAAGCTGCCCCGCACAACAGGAAGGGACCTCGTCATGGGACCAACCTCCGCCGGGACTGTGCACATTTTCTTCCTTGTTTGTGTCTTTGCATGCAGTTTTCATTTGCCTACTTTAGCGTGTACATGTACTGTACATGCAGAAGGACTGATTGATGTTCTTATTGAGTCTCTAGGTGAATAACCTGCGCTCTGCTGTGGCCTGTGCTGCAATGGACACAGCAGCAGAGCTCCATGTCCACTTGGGGAGGGCCGTGGATGCTGAGGCAGAGAGGACAGGCTGCACCCTGTTGTTTAAATTGGCACAGATCACCAACACCTTCATTTACCAGCAGGCTAACCTTGTTTTGGTTGTTAAGAGTGCTCCTTTCAACACAGAGCTCAGGTAAGAGGAGAGAATTTGATCAGAATGTAGTAGGAAGTGTAGTAGCAGTAGCATTTTGAGTAAATGGTGTATGTTTTTGTCCTTCCCTAGTCACCGTTGTGCTGTAGTGAAGGGGAGCACAGCACAGCGCCTCCACCAGCTGGCTGACATCACTGGGGAAGATGAGATGTTGACAGCAGGGAAGATCTTCACAGAGCATTTCCTTCCTGCTGTCAGTAACATGGCAGTGGATGCTGCACTGGATGTCAGGTGGGTTACCAAGTGTCACATGACCTTATGGTTTGTGGATCCTGTGAATTATGCTGTTTGCTCAGTCTTAGTCAGAATCTTATAACCATCTGGGCATTGTGCTCATACACTAAATTGCTTATAATGATGGAGCTCATCATCCTGTGGGATAAGCTCATCCCAGTGAAAGACAGGGATCCCTTACAGAAACCCTTGCAAGATATAAGTAGAGGTGAAGGTGGGGGAAAGACTGGAGAATGTCTGGACATTAGATTTAAGCTGGCATTGTGTTGCAGAGGGTAGCTCTGTCACCTCAGAAAAAATGGTCTACCTTGCATCCAGTTGGCCCCATCTGACCGGAGTTTGCATGTTCTGCAGTGCCAGTGTGGGTTTTCCCCGGGTGCTCATTAGGTTAATTGGAGACTCATTTTCTGTTTATGTATTTGTTATTGTTTAATCATTTCTGTGCTCTTAATTGTCTTGATTAGTGTTGAACAGATTAGTCTAGCAGGAGAAATAGGCTTGCATGTACTCGCGTGGCTTTTTTTTTGGTTTTTTGTTGGTGACCTGTTTATTTAGGACAATAATTATGTGTAATGAAGAATTTTCATTTTGCCAAGGTCAACTTATGGCCATTTTGAATTGATTCCATTTGATTTCTGGTGTAATAATTATATGAAAAAGTGGGTTCATTGTCCCCATGGACCATTAGTTGACCTTGGCAACATGAAAAAATCTTAATTAGTCACCATTAGGGTCCTAAAAAATGGGTTACCATAAAGTGCCATGTGGGTATATGGGAACCTGTTTCTCCTGCTAGCCTATCTTCCCTTTGAGGTGGAAAGTGAAGAGAGTGTGTGGCTGATATGATGGCAAAGGCATAGTTGCTTTCTGACATGCATAAAAGGCGCCATCACAACTGACCCCATGTCACAACCGATCCTGCTTATAGGCTACATACTAGACACAACAAAATATAATATATAGTAGACTATACTGTAATATGTTTTCTGTAATCCAGGGAATAAGGTACAGTGATGCTTGTTTGTAAAGTGCAAATTCTAACGTACAATAAGTCAAAAGTACATACTGATTTACTGTATAACTTTCCCAGTTTTCCTACCAAATGTTGAACTGCCTTGGATCAGAAAGACTCGTGTAACTGTACCATGGGAGAGCTTCTAGAAGGAGGAAGCAGGCAGGCACTAGAGCTGTAAAATAACAAGACGAAAGTCTATTTAAACTGATACCAAAAGGGTTTCCACAGCAGTTAACAATCTACTGTGGAGTATTCCATACATCTGGTATCTAAACAGGGATCAGGGCATTATGGCTTAGGGTGGACATTTTCTCATTTTCAAATACTTTCCTCAATCTATCATCTTTACTGTAGCAGGGAGAGGACAGCTCATATCAAACCAATTCAAAACAGCAATTAAAAACAGTGAAGTCAAATTATAGTTCTTTCCATGGTTACTTTTATAGGACTTTCCTGAACCCCCTCATTGTATCTCCCGTGCAATACTGTAGGTGCAAAATGTTAAATGTCTCCCACAATGCAACACTTGCATATCGTCCAACTAATGACAATGAGAAAAAGAACAACAGAGTTCAGTAAGCAAATGTACTTCCTAAAACATACTGGAAATAAACCAGCAGGAGCCCACAAGTTGTTGCCAACAGCCAAGTCAGCAGTTAAACTACTAACTCACTGCCCTCTCAGTGGGGAAATCTCAGGTAAATATGTCACACACACACACACACACACACACACATACACACACATACACACACATACACATACACACACAGACACCATTTCTCCCACTCATCCCACGGCAGCACTCATCATGAAGGGGTCCCAGATTTCCATTATGTTTTTGGAAAACCCTAAAGTATAGTATAATATTTTAATTTTGAAACGCGTATTTGGGGAACCTCCTAAGTTTCCTCGTGGCTCCACTTCCACCCCAGCATGCAGATGTGTAAAGATGAAGTAAAGTACTGCCCTAATAAAAACAGTCCTGCTCTTCAACAATGTTCACTCACCCAGCCATTACTGTACCTCTGCACAGGTGAATCTACATGTAACAGATTAAGTGTTCTGTAAACATAGACATTTTATTTTTATTGTTAGCCATTGGTGCTAGCTTTAATATATATTTTTATATAACAGTTACATATACACCTATTTTTTTCCACATACTTGTGCACATAATAGTCCTGTGTTCTTTACCTTTATTTGTCCAGCTTTGTTGTCCTTGTTCCTAGCTGTTATGTATATTTCTGTGTAAGTGCACTGAAAGCAATGCAAAATAATTATGGTGGAAAAAAAGGTCATTGTGCTCACCAAAGGGAGCCAGTAATGACCACTCTACTTTACAAAATATGTTACAAGCACAAATATGCATAACTGATTAAAAATGTGAGACAAACCAATATGACTTTTACTAAAAGACAAGTCTTTTTTTTTATATCTGCGATCAAATAATGTGAGATTAGACTCTCACTGTTGCAACTGCAAACAATGACGTCATTTTATGATTGTTCATTCTTTTCTGATTGACATCCATTTTCAAAATTCATAATATATGATATTCCTATGGTCTTATACAGTCCAAAAATATTAGAAAACATGAACAACTTTCTCCCCAATCCAAAAACTATAGTGCTAAAACTTGTGATGTTGTAGAGTATAAAGTCTGGAGGTACTCCATAGAAAATTAATAGCGACAGATGCTCTAGATGATACTGAGACACACTGGGGAATGAATAATAATAATAATCATGATAATAATAATAATAATAATAATAATAATAATAATAATAATAATAATAATAATAAGAAGAAGAAGAAGAAGAAGAAGAAGAAGAAGAAGAAGAAGAAGAAGAAGAAGAAGAAGAGGCACCCCGAGCAATTGGGGGTTTGGTGCCCTACTCAGGGGTGCCTCAGTGGTGCCCAGGAGGTGAGCTGACACCGCTCCAGCTGTCAGTCCACACACTCCATATTTGGTGTGGAAGGGAACTTGAGTTGGAGACCCTCTGGTTCTCAATGCAAGTCCCTATGGACTGAGCTTTCCTAGGCCATGGAAACAACATAATTGGAATGCTTAATTTGGGTGGTGTCCCCTTTAAGCTTGGTTACTTTAATCAGAAAAGTATTGACAGGAGCTATCATATGTGCACTCATGCTGGACTAATTTAATGTGTTGCAGTTCCCCACTTGGACCACTGGAGGGCAGCACACACTCATTATTCTACATGCATATGGCTGCATGTTAATTCAATTAATGTAATGTTAAATAACACTTCCGCTATGAGCTTTCAAAAATAAAACCCAAATACACAGCTGTATTTTTCAGTGTCTACATGATATAACTTTGCAGAGAAGGAGGCAAGGATAGGGAGGTGTTTGGCAAATAAAATAAAATCAGCCATTGTAGTTTGTACATAAAGTAAAATCACAGTAGCAAACGCCTAATGTCAAACACATGATACCAATCTGTAGAGATGAAAAATCTGGATCTTTCTGGACCATTTAGGCATGACTAATATTCTAGATCTTTCTTGTTATTTCTCGTGACCGTCTAAAAAAACCACACCTGAGGTGACGAGTTATTTCGTGACGTGATTTTACACCATTATCGTGGGCGGAGCGTGCGTGACACATCAAAACTTGATGAAAACAGACAGCTCAGTAGAAAACAGGCAGTGGTGCTCAGGGATTTGTGGTTACATTGCTGTCAGGAAGGCACTATAACTCGGAATTAATCAGGATTACTCGAGATAACATCGTTGGATCCTACTGCAATATAACTGTGCGAAGAAGAAAACGGGATTTGGTGAGTAGAAATTAAACGAGAGCTGAGATTAGCTGTCCAATTCAAGTAGCTAGCTTAGTTAGCTAAAAGTACAGTTTGGTTAACGGTGACAAACAACAACTGTATGCTAGCATTTGATATCTGCTGTTTATTCAGGAGGTTTAGCCTTAAAACAGAGAACGTGAAGTAACGTTACAGTACAGTAGTCATATTATATAGACGATAGTTACATCATTGGCTTATTGCTGAACAACACACAAGCTAGTTAGCAGCTAGCATTTGCGCTGAGCTAATTGTTAATAAAGGTTTGCGATTTCAAAACATGGCATTACTATGATTTGGCCACAGTATATTTATGTCTGTTTGCCTTTAAGTTGTTAACCAACATAAAGCCGATATATTACTCGAGCTGGAGCCAGTTATGTAACCACCCTAATCGTATAAGTTAGCTTGGCCTAGCTAGCTAGCAGGTTAGCAACCTCTTTGTAGGGACTCGGAACATGAAGTTTATCAGGACCAAGACAACTTCTGAACACCAAAACCAGCATTAATTCTCAGTAAAATTAAAAACGAGTTGCTAATGTTGTAAGAAATCTTGATAAGATACTAGCAGCATGTAATGTCAACTTGTGAATGACACAGCTAATTCTATAGCTAACGTTTGCTAGCATCCACTGAGACCTTTTTCAGTACTCATACAGGCAGACTTTCATCTATCACTAAACATTTTCTTCTCTTCCTCCTCCCAGGTTGTTAAGATTTCACCACTGTCAGCTGTAGACTTTTTTCTTAGTGATGGAGTTTCCAGATTTGGGAGAGCACTGTTCTGAGAAGACCTGCAAACGGTTAGGTGAGTGCTGTTTGGTTATAAGATGATAATATCCTGCTTGCTTATTCTCCTAAGTTTGATTCTTAAACGTAACACCTTACTTGACATTGCAGATTTTCTTCCTATGAAATGTGATGCCTGTCAAGAGATCTTCTGCAAGGACCACATAACCTATGCAAATCACAAATGCATGTCGTCCTACAAAAAGGTAATTTGACTGACTGCAACTTTTGTGCTATGTTTACAGTGTTGTATTAAGTTCATATTCAAAGGTTCCAAAATTAACAGGCCATTTATTAAGGTCGTTTTTATGATGTAGTGTATATATGTACAGTACAATTAAATCACACTTTAACTTGTTTTTGAACCAAACCTGATCGCTGTAAACCTAAGGAGAACGGTTTATCTTCTGTCTAGGTAATAATGATATCAGGATGCATTACATCACAATATGATATTTCTCACTACTGTGTCCTGATATTGTTTAACTTTATATTGTTAAGGTCTGACCTGACATCAGTAGTCATGATAATGCCGTCCTTTTCTGAGGATCTGTGAACCAGTTTTACAACTGTTTTTTTTTTTTTTCCTTCTTGTTGTAGGACATCCAAGTCCCGGTATGCCCTTTGTGCAACATCCCCATTCCTGTCAAGAGAGGAGAAATGCCTGACATTAAAGTTGGAGAGCACATCGATCGAGACTGTAAATCGGACCCTGCACAGAGAAAGAGAAAGGTTAATATAAAACTGCGGAGTTTCACCTAACAACAAGTTAGAATATAAACAATAGTAATAACAAGATTTTTTTTCTTTCAGATTTTCACAAACAAATGTTCAAAAGGAGGCTGTAAGCAGAAGGAAATGATGCGAGTGACCTGTGACCAGTGTCATTTAAATTACTGTCTTAAACACCGGCACCCACTAGACCATGATTGTAAAACTGATGGGAAACCACTGTCCAAATCAGGGTGGGTACAGTCATACTCCATCTTCAGACAATGCTGTCCATCCATCTGAATATTGCAGGAAGAATAGCTGATTTATTTATTTATTTATTTATTTATTTATTTTTGGGGCGCAGACATGCTGCTGTAATGAGGACCCAGGGTGCTTCCTCCACCTCTGCCTCTGGTTCTAGCTCATCTGGTTCAGGATACTCTAGACCTGTATCTAATGGTGTGAGTGCAAACAACAGAAGCCACAGCACTGGGTAAACACTTATTTTCAGTATTGATTTTAAATGCATCAGAGAAACTGGTCAGCCGTATTACTTTTTCAAGTAGATGAAAAAAATAACAATTCACTTTTTTTGTTTGTTTTCCTCTCAGCCCAACCCAGCGGATTCCTACTTCCGTTTCAGCACAGAATGTAATACCACCATCAGCATCATTTCAGGCCGGAATGGTATGCACATTTTTCACATGACATAATCTGACAAAATAACTCCCAGATGTGAGGAAAATGTAAACATGAGTGTGTGTCATTGCAGACGGAGGAGCAGGCTTTACAAAGGGCTCTGGAGATGTCTCTGGCTGAATCAAGGCCGACAGTACAGCCGGCCTTGACGTGAGTAAACTTCATCAAAACCCAGACACATGTTAACAGCTCAATATCACTTCTAACAAACTTGTGTTAGCATGCTGCTGTGGAGTGGAATGTGTTTTTCTCACTGACCTTCAGCTTAAAACACTAACTGAGGAGCAGTGAGGTATTAAAACGAGGAGGTGCATGTGACTAGTGAGGAAGATGTGGAGAGTAACTAATGTTGAATGAATCTCTGATTCAGTGAAAATACAGTGCTCTAATGCCGGCAAGGCTATCAAGATCCAGGTTGTCAATATGTGTTCAGACAGTAAAACATGTTAAACTAAGAGATGGACAGATTTTGACAGGGAAGAAAATGAAAAAAAAACAACTATTTTCATATATTTAGATTATTTTGTTAAAGTAAAACAGATGTTGTGCAGTGTTTTGGTGTCACCTGAGTGTAGTAGACTAACAGGGATCCCAATAAACTAAGCAAACTTGATAATAAATCCAAAGTTATCTCTATCTATGTAGCACTTACAAGGTTACAAGGTTTTGCTTAATTAAAAGCAAAACATTAAGTAAAATTTTAAGTAAAACATCAGAGGACAAACACCAGTACAATCACACAATATGGGTCAGGCACATTGTCTTCAAATCTTCTGTACAAATAATAATAGGGAGGCTAACACACACAAATTTACTTTGTGTGTGTTTTTTTCCTCAATAAGTGTGTGAGTCTGAGGTTTTCTTTGTGTTTGTGCCTCAGCCCTCAGGAGCAGGAGGATCTGGCTCTCGCTCAGGCCCTTGCTGCCAGTGAAGAAGAATACAGACGTCAGCAGCAGAGACAACAGGTACCCGGAAAGCTTAGCCGTCAGTAGCATGCTAACAGGAACACATGGAGGTACACTGTTGTCATGGCAATTCATCCTCTTTGAACTTTCTTTTTTGGCAGAAGAAACAAATTTGCCTTTCATACATTTTTAATTGTACAATGTGTGTGAGGATTAATAAGTCTTTGTCTCTAACTATGTCTATTGTCTTTGTTCAGGGGAGGGAGTCCAAACAGTCCAATTGCAGCCTTTCTTAATCTCGGACCACCATTTAGACTTCAAGCTGTGCTAACTATCTACTAGAACCTGCACATCTGGAATCATCGATATCCAGGATCAATGATTGTTAAATGAAGAAAATCCTTCTTGGAAGTTGCTGAGATGTTACCGCCTTCTACAATATAAGCACATTCTTTCCCAGCAGGATCTGTCATTTTTACTAATGCTTCACTCTGTACATATTTTATATGCCAATCATGATGGAACCATTATATTACCATATATGAATATTGAATAAATTATTTCAAATGATGCACCCTGAATTGTGAATTGCTCAGTTGATTCAGATTTGAAGACACACTTAACACAGAGTCTGAAGCCTGTTATTTAGTCAAATCCGCCAGTCCATTTAGTGTTGTGAAGTGGAATTATCAAAGTTTATGCAGCTCTTCAGCAGAAGGGTTTGTTTATAGACGATACAATCTGCAGGCAGTTTCTGAGCTCAGGCCAGTTTTATTCAGCAAAATAGAGCTACTGTGAGAGTGAGAATATTGAAGCATCTTTGTTTTCATACATTATGTTTTGGCTCTCAAGCAGCATCTTTAGTAAGCTTTACGATAAAGGTCTCAGGGCTTTAACATAGTGAAGTAAAAACAGTTCAAGTGATTAGCGGCATAACATTTTTGATGCAGTGCACCTGTCTTAAATAAATTCTGGTGTTCAAGAATGCAACAAACTCTGGACTTACATCACAGCTGCTGTGGATTACGATATAATACAGTAGCCTTTAAAAGTTTACGATGAATTATTGTATAATTTATGTAAAAAAAAATTATAAGACAGTTTTCTAATTTAGTTTTTATGCTTTAAAATGGATTATTATTTACAAATGGTAAGATGAAGTTAGTTCATTACACACTATTAAGTGATTAGTCATTGGACAATCAATCTGCAACAACTTTACTAATCAATTTAATCATTTAAGTCACTTATCAAGCAAAACCGGCAAACTTTTTTTGAAATTTAAAGATCTGTGGCTTTTACCGTGTTTCATATCATCAGAAACGTAATATTTTTAAGTTATGGACTACTGATCGGATGAAACAAGCTATCAGAATACTGATCGTGGGAACATTTATGGCTATTCAATCAACCGAAAAATGTTGGTCTACTTGTTGCAGTGGGTCATTTAGGGTTTGTACAGCAGAGGGCAGCAACACTTCACAGATGATATTTAATTTTTCATAGCAGGCTTGGATGTTTACTACACAGCCTGTGTTTGTTTACTGTTCTTGGAGATTAAATTGTCGTGTAAAATCAGGTGACTGCCCCTTTTGTCCCACTGTTTTTGCCTTTGCTGACATTTACATAATGAGGAGAGACATTGTCGAGGTCCACTGAGGTGTTTGATGTGACCAGCGATGCCAGCAGGTGAGATGCTGTCTGGGGGTGTTTTGACAAAACCAAAGCCATTTACATCACAATATTTACCAAGCACAGCTGAAGGGCGTGCAGCTGCTGGAGAAGACTTCATCAGGCAGCAGAGAGCATGTGTAAATATCCAGTTAAATATAAATATATAAATAAATATCCAATTACCATTAAAAGATGAGAGTGACAGCACTTCTGGGATAATTATTTTAACACACTTTGTCAAAATGTATCCAAGTATTCACTATTATTGTGACGTTTGGTTCTTTAGTTTTCTGTATACAGTTAATTTAAAAAATGTATTCAAGGCCTATTAAACTAAATTATGCATTAGATCATCTTATGCATTTGGCATGTTGCTGCATATGTATGTGGCGGACATGGCAAAATGTGGTCCTGGACACCTGTAGCAGCTGCAGCTACCACAGATGCTGTTTTGAGTGCTTTGCCGAGTGTTTGTCTGAGCAAGTGAGAGCAACAAGTAAGGGAGGTGAGATGCCAGCTAGGTTTGTCTTGCTCCCGAGTATTTTGTCTTGTAACGGCTTTGTTTGCACAGGGCATGTGGGCTGTCTGTTCACCTCCAAAGTCCGAAACATGTTCACACTGCTGATTTATTCCCTAGAAGAGGTAAATCCACTGCTCAAATAACACCAAGTCAGTTAATCTTCAGGGATATCAATCTGTCCATTTAGGAAGAATGAGTGATTGTGAATCAGTTTCACCTGCTTTGGCGCAAATGAAAGCGACAACAGGTGCAATGGAGAAACCAAACCAAGACAACCCCCAAAAAGGGAATGGTTTTACATGTGGTGACCACAGACAGTTGCTTTCTCCTTATCCTTCCTGACTGATTCCTCTCTAGTTTTGTGTTCTGCTGGTGTCCTTGTCACTACTTGAAGCATGAGGCTGTACCTGCAGCCTAATCAGGCTGCACAGGTAGTCCAGCTCCTCCAGGATGGCACATCCATGTGGTCACAAGGTTTGCAATGTCTCCCAACAAAGTCTCAAGAGCATGGAGGACGTATCAGGAGATCGGCCATTACACGAGGAGAGCTGGACAGGGGCCGTAGAAGGGCACCAACCCAGAGGCAGAACCGGTATGTGCTCCTTTGTGCAAGAAGGAACAGGAGGAGCACTGCCAGAGCCCTACAAAATGACCTCCAGCAGGCTACTGGTGTGCATGTTTCTGACCAAACTGTCAGAAACAGACTCCATGAGGGTGGCATGAAGGCCTGATGTCCTCTAATGGGACCTGTGCTCTCAGCCCAACACCGTGCAGCTCGACTGGCATTTGCCAGAGAACACCAGAATTGGCAGGTCTGCTATTGGCGCCATATTCTCTTCACAGCCAAGAGCAGATTCACACTGAGCACATGTGAAAGGTGTGAAAGAGTCTGGAGATGCCATGGTGACCGTTATACTGCCTGTAACATCATCCAGCATGACTGGTTTGGCAGTGAGTCAGTGATGGTCTGGGTAGTCATATTGTTGGAGGATCGCACAGACCTCCATGCCACAGCCAACGATACCCAGAGTGCTGTTAGGTACCAAGATGAAATCCTCAAAGAGATTGTCAGACCTTATGCTGGTGCAGTGGACCCTGGGTTCCTCCTGGTGCAGGACAATGCCCGGGCTCATGTGTCCAGAGTGTGTAGGCAATTCCTGGATGATGAAGGCACTGATGCCGTTGACTGGCCGTCTTGTTCCCCTGACCTAAATCCAATAGAGCACCTATGGGACATTATGTATCAGTGCATGTGACCCCTCCAAGTACCAACACTGACTACTGAGCTTACTGATGCTCTGATCCAGGTCTGGGAGGAGATCCCCCAGGACACCATCCACCAACTCATCAGGAGCATGCCCAGATGTTGTTGAGAGTGCATACAGGCACACAGGAGCCATACACACTACTAAGTCACGTTATGAGTTGCCATGATAATATTTCATGGCCGCGTGCCATCATCAATACATTGACCTAGAATTATGGATTTGACTCCCCCAACATTACACTCCCGGCCCATATACAGTACAGGCCAAAAGTTTGGACACACCTTCTCATTCAATGCGTTTTCTTTATTTTCATGACTATTTACATTGTAGATTCTCACTGAAGGCATCAAAACTATGAATGAACACATGTGGAGTTATGTACTTAACAAAAAAAGGTGAAATAACTGAAAACATGTTTTATATTCTAGTTTCTTCAAAATAGCCACCCTTTGCTCTGATTACTGCTTTGCACACTCTTGGCGTTCTCTCCATGAGCTTCAAGAGGTAGTCACCTGAAATGGTTTCCACTTCACAGGTGTGCCTTATCAGGGTTAATTAGTGGAATTTCTTGCTTTATCAATGGGGTTGGGACCATCAGTTGTGTTGTGCAGAAGTCAGGTTAATACACAGCCGACAGCCCTATTGGACAACTGTTAAAATTCATATTATGGCAAGAACCAATCAGCTAACTAAAGAAAAACGAGTGGCCATCATTACTTTAAGAAATGAAGGTCAGTCAGTCCGGAAAATTGCAAAAACTTTAAATGTGTCCCCAAGTGGAGTAGCAAAAACCATCAAGCGCTACAACGAAACTGGCACACATGAGGACCGACCCAGGAAAGGAAGACCAAGAGTCACCTCTGCTTCTGAGGATAAGTTCATCCGAGTCACCAGCCTCAGAAATCACAAGTTAACAGCAGCTCAGATCAGAGACCAGATGAATGCCACACAGAGTTCTAGCAGCAGACCCATCTCTAGAACAACTGTTAAGAGGAGACTGCGCCAATCAGGCCTTCATGGTCAAATAGCTGCTAGGAAACCACTGCTAAGGAGAGGCAACAAGCAGAAGAGATTTGTTTGGGCCAAGAAACACAAGGAATGGACATTAGACCAGTGGAAATCTGTGCTTTGGTCTGATGAGTCCAAATTTGAGATCTTTGGTTCCAACCGCCGTGTCTTTGTGAGACGCAGAAAAGGTGAACGGATGGATTCCACATGCCTGGTTCCCACTGTGAAGCATGGAGGAGGAGGTGTGATGGTGTGGGGGTGTTTTGCTGGTGACACTGTTGGGGATTTATTCAAAATTGAAGGCACACTGAACCAGCATGGCTACCACAGCATCCTGCAGCGACATGCCATCCCATCCGGTTTGCGTTTAGTTGGACGATCATTTATTTTTCAACAGGACAATGACCCCAAACACACCTCCAGACTGTGTAAGGGCTATTTGACCAAGAAGGAGAGTGATGGAGTGCTGCGGCAGATGACCTGGCCTCCACAGTCACCGGACCTGAACCCAATAAAGATGGTTTGGGGTGGACCGCAGAGTGAAGGCAAAGGGGCCAACAAGTGCTAAACACCTCTGGGAACTCCTTCAAGACTGTTGGAAAACCATTTCAGGTGACTACCTCTTGAAGCTCATGGAGAGAATGCCAAGAGTGTGCAAAGCAGTAATCAGAGCAAAGGGTGGCTATTTTGAAGAAACTAGAATATAAAACATGTTTTCAGTTATTTCACCTTTTTTTGTTAAGTACATAACTCCACATGTGTTCATTCATAGTTTTGATGCCTTCAGTGAGAATCTACAATGTAAATAGTCATGAAAATAAAGAAAACGCATTGAATGAGAAGGTGTGTCCAAACTTTTGGCCTGTACTGTATGTCTTAAGTCACTGATTGCCGTATTGCGGCTGATTTGATCCCATCACACAGTGGTCTCTTGTTTATTTTCTACATTTATTATTTCATTGCAATAACTTCCAGTTTTCACCATTTGGGCTTGCTCATTATGTAGCACCATAATGCAGTCATCTAAAAACACTTAGGGCCTCTCCTGGCTACACTTCTGTCTGACAGTCTACAGTCACTTAAGAGAATAGAACCACTTACTTAAAGTTAA